TCAGTAGACTATAATGGTCTTGACTATAAATCACTCTAGTGGATCATATTAGTACTTGCTACAGATGCAATTAACTCTGGTTGCTACTCTAAATCAGTTTAAGTGACCACCGGTTTCCATATGTTGGTGTTTGAAATGGCTTCTATATCTTCAAGTTTAGTGATCCTGTGCAAGTAGCATTCACTTTAAAATTTACTGACATACAGAATGGTGGCTGTGCTAGAGGCTTTTAGTTATATTGTTATAGGGCAAATCCTGAAAGCTTTCTTAAAGTATATAGATTTCTCATTCATCTCATAGATGCTGCCTGCTATATCCTTTTTGCCAAGATCTTTCTACTGTCAAAAAACCTGGTGATTTTTCCTTTGGATCATCCATTCTAACTGATAACTTTCTAGCCATGATGTCACAGAGGTTAATATACTCAGAGAATTTATTCATAGGGCTTGACTTCGTAAGGTCATGCATGACTCTTGGCCACTTTGTAATACTGAGAGCTAACGCAGACTGTTACTAACACATAGGCTAGGTACAGAAATTACACATAAAACGGTATAAGAAACTGGAAACTTTTTCAAATCTGTAACACAGCAGAAATTCAGGCCACATAAACTGCTTTCAAAATGACCAAAACCAGTTTAAAGTAATAGGATGGATTTAGTATTAGACTTAATTGATTTGTTTATTGAACTTCGGTCCTTGATCCCCTCCAGATTCAAGTTAACTGACAGTCCGCCAGCATTCCAGCATGCTTTGCAACCCCCCCCTCCAACCGCAAGCCACCTCACAGGGAGGGAAGGCTAACCTTAGCCCAAGCTGTTTACTCAAGCTTCCAGCTGATATGTGTGCACTAATTACCTAGTTAACAGATAATCTGTGGTGAATAGATCTCTGTTTTTCATCACCCTCCCCACCAAAAGGTCTGTAATACCTTAGTTTCAACCCGCTGAAGAATAGGAAACTTCAGATCGCAAATACGATAGCAAAATAAGAAAACTTTTTCCTACCCATTTTTAAGCAGCACCACTATAATTTCATTGTAGTATACTGTTTTGCTTATGCTTTCAATCTCATGTTATCTCAAGATGTAATTTCCAAATTAATTAGTTGTCCAGTAACATTCAGCCCTTAATTCTTAAAGAAACAGATTTTCTGAATGATGTTTCAGAGTTTTCTATTCCTTTGTAAAAGAGTATCATAGAATCTGACACAAACATTTGTACGTTTGATCTTGTTTTTGATTCCAAAATGTGTTTTGATCACCACCCCATTACAATTCTAAACCTTGAACATAAAAATCAAAACACAGCCAGATATCACAACACAGTCTCAGGAGGGTGCCATTTTACTAATTCAAATTTTTATTTTTTCCTGGTTGGATTATTGCAATTTATTTCCTCTTTGTTTTACAAGCTATAGTGTTTTCAGATTTCTATAGCTAGACTAACACAAAGAAGGCTAGTACAATACACCTATACAGAAGGCAAGATAAAGATGCACCTTATAGAACAACTGAAGCAAAAGCACATCTCTGATTCAGTTGGTCTATATGGTGCCTCTCTACCCTGTCTTTTCCCTGACTTCAGATTAACATAGCTAACTACCTGTTTCTACATCTATATAAGTGCCAGTGTAGCAATACCCCACTGTAGGCCTAGGGACAGACATTCAAAAAGCCTGAGCCTGAATTGAGTCAATCTTTGCAGGTTAGTCCAACTTGGCTAGGCTGAACCAGTTTGTAACCACACAGACTTCCCTTCTGGAGTGAAGAAATGCAGGCATATGCCTGCAGTGGCTCAAGCTAGAAGCTGAGGGGCACTAGAGCAGCCCTCCCTTCCCTTCTACAGTGATGAGCTGAAGGGGCTTGGCCAGGCCCTGGCCGGACGCTTTGATTAGGGAAGGGTACCCCTGTTGCTGTTCCTGACCAGTGAGGGAGCCAGCATGGAGTTACACAGCATTTATTTATATAGCAGGGAGTTACACAGGAAGTTGTTAGCACTTAGCACCCTATCAGAAAACAAAAGCCTCTCTCATTAGTTCAAGCTCTTAAACAACATTTTCCAAGGAAGGACAGGAGGGACATAATCAGCTACCTGTTAATTAGTTCCGAAAAGCCCTAAGCAGACACTGTCTTGTCTACTTTACACAGGCACCTCTCAGCATTAGCTAGCATACCACATGCTGGCTACAGTCCATGATGTGGTGGGGGGAAGGGAGGGCAAAGGGAAGCGAGGCAGATGCTGTTGTGCTTGTTGTCTCTGCCAGAGCTCCAGCCAGGGAGCAGAGGGGAAGGGCCAGCTCAGCTCTCTGGAGCAGAAAGCCCCGTCCAGCACTGCAAAGCATGTGGGATGCTGGGGGACTCTGGTTTAAATTAAACCAGGAAGGGGCCTGGGACAGACATTGCATAAACTGGTTTAACCCAAATCAGTTAAGTCAGATACTACATTCAACCAGGTTTATCTCAAACTGGTTTCAGCCATTTTCAGACTGGTTTATGTGCACTGAAAGTCTGTTCTGTTACAGGTTTAAACCAGTTTCTGATCACTTAAACCAGTTTATGTGATATGTCTATCCCTAGCCTAGGAGACTCACCAAGGAAGAATGTAAGTGCATTCCATCACTCATTCATTTATTTACTCTTTATCTATGAATATTGATAGACAGGGCAGAAACTAGTCTCCTCTCTTGTTTGTCCTCTGCCACTCTGGGGGAGAGATTTCCTATTCTGGCTTTTCCTGTTCAGAGTTCTCAAAGGTATCTAAATTGTCTCATGTCAGGTAGTGCTAGAGAACATCTCCAAGAAAACATGCCTCTGGCCACTTGTTCTTAATCCATGCAAGCCGAACACAAGATGCCACGTAGCTACTGCTAGACGTGCTTTTGTGAACATGGACCAGACTAAGAGCCTGAGAATGGTGCCAGGTGCCCCATAAGTATGAGCCAAAAAGTGAATGCATGACATTTTTCAGCACTCAGTGCATAAGAAGCAGGAACAAATGAGCTGGACTAGCACTAGTTAATGCAGTACAGACATGCTGTAGCATTTCTTGTTTGACACCTGTGTTTTATCAAGCTAGTTGGCTTCCCCCAAAAGCTGCCACACTGTATTTTAGGAAGGCATACTTTCCCCATGTGGCACTCTGTATGTGGGGAAGAAAGAAAGATGGGATTCATTTACATTAGCCATCAGGCTGGTAAAAGCTGGTCTTCATTGGACAGTGAGGAGAGATCTCATGGACAGCTCCTTCCCATCCCTTTCTGAGCGAGTTGTATCCCTGCCAGGTAAAGAGGCAAACAATCCCCATGGTCCCTAGAGATGGAAATCAGTTTGAAAATTTGGAGCGAGACCGTCAAAATCAATAGATTTACAACCATTTAAGACACGTGACCCATTGACTATAGAAACCAATCACGGAAAAAAGATGAAAGTGTCCAACCAAAATAGAAATTTGTCATTATTGTAAAATAAATCCATAGCAATCTTATACATCCTTGTAGCCAGATTTTAAAAAGTGGCTTTATGAATGTACATTTTTTTGTATTCTATATGGTTATTAAGGACTAACTTTACAGTCCAACTCCAAAGTACTATAGGTAATCTACATATATTAAAGCTTGTGAATTTTAATCATACAGTTTAGGGATGTGAGAAATAGGCTGTATTCGTTTTGGATTCAGCCCAAATTGGGGACAGTGATTCAATTTGTTGATTCAGATCACTGTCCCAATTTAATTTGGCCGAATCCGAATCCCAAGATTCGATGCGGATTCAGAGAATCAGCGATTCAGCTATAGACACAGCTTTAAATGTTTTTTCTACATACCTCGAGGTACCAGGCACAGCTCATGAATGCTGCAATAGTGGGGTGAATGGAGCATCCCAAAGGAGTTAAGGGGGAGGGGGCCCTGCATGCATGGCGGTGAACCCAGAAGTGGACCAGAAGTAACTCCGGTCCACTTCTGGGTCCAGCCGCTGAGCCCACAGGGGAATCCCTCACATCCCCCCAGCTCTGCAATCAGCTGTGGGGGGACCCCGGGTGCCTCCCCACACCCAGGAGGCACCAGTCACCAAGCCGGGGGCACAGCCCCTGCATGCTCCCCAGCAGACCCAGAAGTGGACCAGAAGTGCTTCTAGTACACTTCCAAGTCCACTGCCAAGTGCATTGGGGACGCCCCCCTCAACGCTCCCATGGAGTGCTCCATCCGCCCCAGCATCTTAGCATTCATGAACCGCCTGGTAACTTGAGGTATGTAGAAAAAACATTTAAAGCTGTGTCTGTGTCCAAATCATTGAATCTCTCTGAAGTGATTCAGAGGGTTCTGATTCGATTTGGAGAGATTAAATGGTCTCCCGATTCAATTTGGATTCAGCGATTCAGCCGCCAAATCGGGCCAAATGTTCACCAAATCGAATCAGCGACCGAATCTTCGCAGAGCCCTAGTGCAGATACCTTTTATGATGGGTTTCCATTTATTCCAGTTTTCAACTAGAGAAGAGACCATTCTTTTTAGAAATTGGGCAAAAACCTGAATTCCTGCGACAATCTAAACTTATTGTGCCTTACAAGTTCTTAACAGTGTGTCAATAACTCAAGAAAACATGCATCTTAATATGAGGATTTGTTAATAATTTCATACAAATTGTGAATTTAAAAGTATCCCGCCATACATCTGTTTCAGCATAAGCATATCAGTACAGCTGATCAATGATTTCTATTACAGGCTAATAAAATCAATGCACAATGGGCAAAATATTTGGGCTATTCTTTGAACAATAAAGGCAAAGGTTCTAGCACTGTGCATATGCAAGAGGCCATAATTGTATTTACCTTAAAGCAGAGACATCTGGATGTTCCACTGGTATAAAGGAGGGATGGTGCACAAAATTTAAAAGTTTCCACATAGTGATTTCTTAAGATTAAAGGACTGGAAAAGGTAATGCTTTCATGGAACATAAATTTGCATGGAGCCAGTCACAAATTGAAAAAACAGCAATTTACCTGAAGAAGGTGACAAAGAACTGCACAAGATCCATGATGGTGTTGTGCTGTGAGAAGGCAATCTGAAAATAAAAATAAAACTAAATTATAAACAGCACTTTCACAGTCAACAGTCCCTTGGGATGTTCTAGAACAGAGAGGGATTTTATAGCTCCGTGGATGAGTGCTTTAAAGTGCAATTTCAGCCTGGTATGCACACCTGCACGACACCTACTTACCATAAAGGGAGCTAGGTAAATAATTTCCACCACAGGTGCTGAAATCTCTCTCCCTGTGTCAAACTACAAATAGAATGTAGCTGTTCTCTCATATAAAAATTAATGGCTATAACAGAAAAATAATATTGTTTGACAAGTCTAATGCCTGGAACAAAATGTAAAATATTAATTGACAATCCTAGGATCAAAACTTATGCAAGTAGTGCTTTTTTATTTTAAACTCAGTAATATTTAATTGACTTCATTTCCATTTCAGTTAAGATTTTGAAAACAGATTTTAAAAGCATCACAAAGAACATTCTATGCCACTAAACTGAGACATTTTAAGCATTTTTAGTGATTAAACACACAACATACATTTAAATATAAATGGATATAATCATTTAAAAACCAGATAAAACTGGTGCGTAGTAGAACAAATGGTTTCAAGACACACATTTACAAATGGAGCTGTAGGTGGGGTTACTTAATTAAAATAACGTGAGCAGAACTTGTAGTATTTCATATCTCGCTTTTCTACTGGATTTTTTTTTACTATGTGGAAGTAATTTCCTCTAATGAGTGACTTTCTTAATAAGTATATATCATACATCCTATAATTTATTTCAACTAACATTAAGAGTAGTGTTTTTATTTTGAGCTGCCTATATCTCTAAAATGCCTCTCTCGTACAGTTTTTCATTGTATGTAATTATTGAATTGAGACTATATTCTATTCTCATTATTACTGCATTTTTTTCTCCATCCAATTGCCTGTGGTGCTTATCTAATTATACTGCCAGTGTACCCAAGTCATTCTGTTTCTTTTTCATCAGTGGCCTGGTCCTGAATAAGTGGCTGCATCCACACAAGACTTACTGCACAGTCATTTAGTACTTGCATACGTGATTAGTCGAGTCTGCTCCGATCCACTGTAATTACGTGTCGGAGCAGCCTCCTTGCATGCGTATAGGAGCCCTTGGTTTTCCATCACTGTTTACTAAGGACTAGATTGTAATTTTGGCCAGGAGCTAGAAGTGGTAGATAAATTCAATTATTCTGTAGGGCAAAATCTGAGACGTTTCAGTGATATGTCTGAGAAACATAGTTAAATATTCATCTTTGCTTTTTCCTTCCTAATGATTACCTGTAATAAGGCAAATGACTCTTTCTTCCAGACAGTTCTGTATTTTGGAGCACAGGGTCTTGACTGTCAAAGATTCTCTACTTTGGCTGGTCTATAATCAGCCTTTTTCAAGTATGAGAAAGAGAAGGAGCTAAAATCTGAAGAGGAATGAATGCTGGAAATACCTCTTGGCCTCAATAATAACAACAAAAACCATTATTGGGAAATCTTGAAATTCTCAGACAATTTTCACTGATGCACTCAGATATTGTTGTAATGAATAATTGCAATGTATACTGTAATGTAACGAATGTCATAATGAATACTGTATAAGAACCAAAGCAGATTGAGTTATATTGCCTAAATATCCAATGAAGTCAATGCGAGTTTTACTTGAATGACAGTACCGTAAAGACTGAAAAAAGATCCGAGGTATATTTAGCCCAAAGTCTCAGGCATCCAAGCAGCAATGCCTATTTCAATAATATGTGAAATGAGAAACCAACAGCTTCTTATAATTGAGCTACATTTTAAATCCAGATACTATTCTCTGCAAATAATATTTAATATTGAATATAACCACTGGCTTTTCCATAACACTTGTTACAAATATCATAGTTTGGGGGATGAACTAATACAAGAGACAAAACATAAGCAATTTTCAGCAGAGTTCATCTTATGTGACACTATTAAAAAGCTATTTGTTGAAGAAGCCTTTACATTTTACATTACTGCAATTATTTTCACCCAAAGTGTCAGCTTTCATTGAAAATGTCCCTCATTCCAGAAACAATTATTGTCAAGGAAAACTACTGCAATCAATAGCTGTGGTCCTCCTGATGATAAATGATTGCCCTATAAGGTAAATTTTATATCAAATATTTCCAAGAAGGATCAGTGCCTTACTTTTTTCCCCACACAGTACAGCATATCTGAAGGTAAATAGATTTACAACTATTCAGCAAATTCTGAATGGCTATTAACCATTAAATATATTTTTTTAAGAAAGTACAGATATGATTAGGACATCTGTCAGCCACATCTGGTTTAGATGCCTTCAACAGATGAAATCATAAAATGAGCATATACTTAATTATTTTATGCCTCACAACTGTAAAGCTACTAAATTGGAACATATGAGAGATCTACATGGGCAACGGCTATAGAACTATAGAAATTGGTATGTTCTGCAATCAGAATTCATCCTTGCAAATTAATAATTTTTTACATAATTTTAAGAACTCCATTTGTTTGTCAATACAAGACCCGGTTGGAGATTACCAAATGATTCGCATAATACGTGAACTGCACTTTTGTTGGTTTGCATACTGTAACATACTGTGTCCACGTGATGTTTAAATTCTCCAAATGTCTCCAGTAAAACTACAAGCACCAATAATAATGTCATATATTACAAGTATTGATCAAAACAATCTAGCATATTTCAATTTTGTCCCTTAGCTCTCCTCAAATAGAAAAGATTATAAACCAGACGTTCTAAATAGTTCCCTCCATCATTTTTTTTAGAAGGATGAGTAAATATTGGACAAATAGAAATTAATATTTGAGCAACTGTTATTGTTCTTGCACAAAAATGAGTAGACACAATATGCCATGAGGTAAATTTTCATCTGTTCCATTATTTGGCCTCTGTCTGTGAAGATAATACATTTCACATCCGCAAACTTTCTTAACTTCTGTTAGTATAAATACCTACAAAATTGGAAATGTGCACATTAATTTCTGCAAATGTAAATATCTGCAACAGTATATCCCATTAAACCCAACATGTTTTCAGATGCAGATTTTTACATTCATCGTTATTAGATTTTTTATGTACATAAATTGCTGGACATGTGAATATCTGTGCAACTGTTTAGTTGGTTAAAAATCTCAGTCTGGTGGTGAGTCCATAGAAGTAAATCTGCCACAACTATAGGCTAATACAGTTAGAAGGTGTTCCTCTGTTTGTGGAAGACACTAGGAAAACTCTGGCCAGCTATAATTGTGATACAATTGTGTAGGTTCACTCCCTTATTCTTGTAGTGTGGGATAGGCCCCTGATCCACTTACTGCTACACAGACATCCACATGGCTGGGCTGGGAGTGAGCCAGCTGGCACAATGTGGCTGGAAGGTATGCTGCTGGTTGGTTCAGTTCCAAAGGCTGTGGGTTTAAAAGAAGTCCAGAAGTGGAGCCTAAGGGAAGAGAAGAGGGAGCACTAGCAACAAAGCTGGTAGCTCTCCCTGCGGCAACAAGTGACCCAGTATAGCCATGCTGGACCAGCACACCGGGTGGAACAGCTTGGGCTTGAGGCAGCAACTGGGTGTATGGGGAGCACCCAGAGGTAGACTCCACTGCTGGAAGGGAGCCAGTAACTCCCACTGGAGCCAATAACCCTGGAAAGTGTGGGAAAGCCCAGATTGCCCACACAAACCGGGACACAGCTGCCAATGCCAGCTGGACTCTTGCAGCTGGTGGGTTGTGTGGCTACAACCCCATCCCAAGATATGGCACCTGTGATGTACTACATAGGTGTACACAGGTCAGCTGGGGCTGGGAGAGGGTGGCACAGTAGGCATGGCCAAAGTCTCCAAAAGGGAGAAGCTGACATTACCCTACTAGTCACACACACCCCCGTTGAGTGTTCATGGAGTCAGAATGCCCTGGCCTGGGACTCACAGAATCATGAGCAGAACACAGGTGCAGAGGGATGTACCCCTAAACGCTATAGGACCTGGCCGGGCAGAACAGTCTCAGATGCAGGCCCAGAAAAGGGGCATCCTTGAGTGGAGAGTCCATGGGATAAGGGTGCATGGTGCACCGACCAACCCCACACTGAAAAAAAAACACTTGGCATGGGAGCATTGTTACCCTGCCCACCACAACATCTGAGCTATTTTTGTTGAATTCTTGTTCTGCTGTAGTTTTCACAAGTCTACAGAGTCACAGCCAGACCTTCTGCAGCTGTCCTTGTTACCAGGCCTCATCATAGGAGGGGAGAGTCCCATCACCACATCAGAGCATCATCCAACCTGATCAGAAACACCTGAGTAGAAAGGGTTGAAGGGTAGGGAAGGAGGAGCCCCACAGAAAATGCGCCAGCAGAGTCACCCAGGGTCCCCGGAGAACCACTGAAGATCACCTCCAGAGGTAAAACTGCACATAAATTGTGGCAGGAGACTAGACCCTGGTGTGACAGTCCAGGAGGTGGGCCACGCCCATCAGTTGATGTGGTTATTGTGAGCCTGTCACATAGTGTTAAAGGCATCAGCTTTTAGCTTTGGAATTTCTAAGATCAGTCTTCACTGACTATCATTATACTTGCATATGCAAAATCTAGATTAAATGGTATGCTACATGGAAGCAAAGGCTCAAAACACACCTCTTCATTTCATTTGTGTTCATCTGATTTAATATACGACTTAAAGATAGATTATTCCATGTATAATTGGATTTAGAAATCTATAGTTTACAGGTTAAATACATTTCTTTATTTCTGACAAATTAAATCTTTATTTTGATGTTAAAGATTATTTTCCTCTCCTTTTTAAAAACAATCAAAACCAACTTTTTAAGGAACTGAGCTTTCACATTGTTCATTTGAAGAACAGAGTATTATCAGAGGCTCCATTTAGATGACGAATCATATCTTAAACATCTTTCCATACTGAGCTGTTAGGGGATTAGAGCTCTAGTCAGCATTATACAATAAACCTGAACTCCACTGATCTTTGTA